TTGAAGATATTTCGTGATCCCAGATCATACGCCAAAAGTCATCCAATGTATTGTTCAATGGACCTAAAGTTATATTGTAAGATTGTAATACGTTACAGTTCTAGACCTCTATTGTGGATATTTAACGGGTAGAACGGCGCCGACTGCCGGAGTGAGAGGCGGGAGAACGCACAGGGAAAGGGAATGTTTTTCTATTATTCTGACATGAAACAATACAGTTTATTGAACATTTTGAATTTACGTATGGGAAAGGAGAGGTCTTGGACAGGCAGCGTTCAAGTTTTGGAATGCTTCTGACACTTAGGTTTAGAAAGTACTATTTGGCAGACTATGGAATCCGAGGAAAACCTTCTAAGTGCAATGTTTGTATATTGCATGCCTCTGCACGTCGCATGGTATGGTAGTAGTTAAATTTTCTTTACCTTGTGTTGCAATATACGCTGCAGGAGCTCCGTCATATCCCTGTACGTATAGAGTCAAAGAAGCATAAGCAAGCGTTGTCAATGGCACAAATTTCATGAATTGGAAAAAGAATAGAACACCTAATTATCACTAATCAATCACTAATTGTTCATACCATTGAAGAAATAGAAAACGTGCGCGCGTGCTGTGTGCAATAATAACAACCCCCGCGTTGGCAGAACACGAGAGAAGTGTTACTAGAAGCACAACGTGTAGCGGAGTGCTTTTGGACATTTATCGAGTGTTCTGTCCGTTCCCCAAGTGCTTTATAACGGCATACAGCACAGCAAGCAAGTAATTTTTTCAATATAAAATACAAATTATAAAAATAGTCATTTTGGATAGGAATGACGCAACGGAAAGTGTGCATGCGTGCGCGTGCAATGTACTCTCATAAAGCACTCGCTCCAAACCAATCAGGACGCGACAATCAGAACAGTTAGTTTTATATAGCCATATTATGATACGGTGGGAAACTTACGCGAATAAAGGATGCATTGATATAACACGAGTCTTGATCATCATTAACTGGTTCCAAAGTAACAAGCGAGTGGTCATCTGAAGTTAGAACATATATTTCATGGAAACAATTTCCTTATCACAAACCGACCTACTCAAAAATGATAAGCACATAAATTAAAAAGGTATTATCCCTAATATTTTAGAACCTCCATCGTGAATGATGTGATTTGAATCTCGTGGTAGCATCTTAGTAAAAATTCATTCATCTCGGTAATCCTAAATCAGAATTTGCCTAACCATGAATGTACCTGATTTATCAGCAGAGAGATACCTGTTGTTAAGGGAAGTGATATAGGCATTTATGACTTACACGCAACAATATTTTTGTAACGATTCTTTTTCTTGTTGGCAGGTCTCTTTGCCATCTTGCATTCATGCATCGGCTCCACGGGTATGCTCTGTAGTTGTCAACCAACCAAAACGAAAACACAAAAGATCAAACTAAGTTTGTAAAATATTCCTAAAAAATCGGACGTACGGTAACGATTTTCGTGAAAAACATGGTCTCTATTACACTCAAACGTTTAAAAAATATATATGATATATGAATAAATGAGTGGTGACATGAAGAAGTTACTTTTACATAAAGTTGGCAAAGGCATACCTTAAATTCTTCCGTGAGCTTACTTTCTGGCGGAAGAGATTCTGTTGGGCTCTGGGCAGTCATCATGATCAAATCAGGAATGGAGCTTTCAGTTTCTTCATATGTATGATCTTCTAAGTTGTTTTCTTTTAGTCAAAATAATCAACAGATTACCAAAATAAATTGTCAATTGTTTAGTGGTCTATTTGACATCCATCTTGCCATGACTAGATCGCAATCTCAATCTCCAGATCTTCATCGCGGCACCGAGTATTACTCAGTAGAGAAAGGAAGACATCAACTTTTATGAAAAGGATGTCCAAAACGTGTCGAAAAAGACTAGTGTAGCTGTCTCACTGCGGTACGGCGCAACAAATTGAATGAATCTGCTGAACTTAGCTTCATATGATTTATAACTAGATTCATTTACCTGTGTCGAAAGAACTTTTTGCAGACACCTTTAGGAGATCATCATAATCATTATTCTCTGGGACTGGTGTATCGTCAATGACAGCCAGTGATACAGGTACTTGGTCCATAACTATATCTTCGTGTTTATTTTTACGATTGCGATTTCGACTATATATATGGGACAAAAAGTACTTTAATTTTTATCGAACATTTATGTTTAAAATCGTTATTGGATTGCGTATACGTGTTTACCGTTTATATGAAGTAATCACAACAATGAGAATTAGCACTAGGACAATAAACCCTGCAACGAATCCGGCTATCATCGAGCGGTTGAAAGGAGAGGTAGAATTTTCATCTGCATTACGTCTTGATTTAACTGGGGGGAAAAAAGAACAAAAACAAAAAAAAACGACAAATATAACTCGACAATTTTTCAGAGGGAAAGTCATTGATTTTTTTTTCAGTAAAAAACTTAATATTCACTTACCAAGTGAAGGTATAGTTATATTATCACCACTTTTGTAAGGGCCTTCTTCGATTGTGGTCGCACTAATCTTGTATGAGAATGTTCCGTTTCCGGTAATATTTATGGCGTATCTAAGATCCCTTGTCCTATTTATAGTAACTATCTCTCTATTTATCCTTGTTGTAGTAGTATACAATTCTGTACTTCCTGATGATGCCATTCAAGTCACGTGGTCTATCCCACGTGATAACAACGCGTGGTCGAAATAAGCCTTGCGCAGGCATCAAAGTACCAGTGACATTTACTGGAGCAGAAGGAGCTTTAGGCAAAAGATAAAAGTAATAACATTTTAAAACATGTCATTACTTTTATACTTAAAGTAATCCCCTTCTCCAAAAACATCTTGTCCTACGCGCTGGACATGGAGTCCTAGAGTTAATGTTGGAATTTCCAAAACCATGATAATGTCATTAAGTGTGCAAACCAACCATGAGGCTCGGATGATAGTGAATTATTCATTCCCAAACACAACCATACACCGAATCGAACTATGGCGACCAGTTTGAATAACTATTGTTCTGGACTGACTAGCCTCTCATACATGTGAAAACGCTTTTATATGTTTCCACGTGAACACGAGGTTAGTCAGTCCAAAACATTAGTTATCTTGAGAATTGTCAGCGTAATTGGATTCGGTGTATACAGATGTTTTTTGCACTGTTTTTGCGGCTTATTTTAATATCTCACCATCCTCCATTGTTGTCACTCTTTGCTCATTACTTGGTGGACCAGTGTACTTAGTGTTTCTGACTGCTATAGTGATGTTATAAGTTGTATACTTGAGTAGTGACGTCAGAGTATAGTTTCCAACATCACTCACCTCAATCATTTTAGTCTTTCCTCCTTGTGGTGTATAGGTTATTCTGTATCCCCAGAGCGGCCCGTGAATAAACTCCGACTTTTGAAGCTATATTCAAGAAAATAGTTAGATATAGAGGAAACATAGAGTACAAATTCACAGGATTTTTTTTCTTGAAAGTGAAACCTTTCTGAAGCTTTTTTCCCCCGTCTCTTGCCAAATCAAACTAGGCGGAACTAGTTGGTTAGCTCCTCTTTATATACATGCAACGAAAAGGGCACTCAAACGGGTTAAATTAATAACAAATACTTACCTTCCATTTGAGAACAATTGTTTCAGATGACGTTTCTGTAGCATTTAAAGAAGGAATCGATTCGGGTTCTATACAAAGCATCAAAACAAACCGATGAAATTGANCGTTTATAGTAACTATCTCTCTATTTGATATATCCTTGTTGTAGTAGTATACAATGGTGTACTTCCTGATGATGCCATTCAAGTCACGTGGTCTATCCCACGTGATAACAACACGTGGTCCAAATGAGCCTTGTGCAGGCATCAAAGTACCAGTGACATTTACTGGAACAGAAGGAGCTTAAAACAAAAGATAAGTAACAAGATTTTAAACATGTCTAATACTAAAATTAATCCCCCTCTCTAAAAAATTCCGTACCCTGCTGGACATGAAGTCCTATAATAATTGTAATAATAATTGTATTGTTATTGGGTCAATTTATCTAACAGTAATATACTAGAATCAAAAGATCTATTCGAACATATTATTGTTAGCCCTGATAAAGAAAATCTATTACAGGACTATATGACCGATCTTTGTATAAAATCGGAATTTTATTCAATTAAGCAATCCGGAAATCTTTTCCATAAGGCAAAAGAACAGTTTGGATTCTCAATGATTCATTTCAACATGTGCTGTTTGTCAAAAAAGTAGGCTTTTATGTTTCTGATGAATTGCATTTCATCAGAAAACACGATTTTGATCTTTCCAATGAAGACCTCGAATCCTGTTGGATAGAAATTACATGTAAAAGACAAAAGAATATTGTGATTGGAAGTGTTTATCAACACCCCTCAAGGGACTGTATTCGTTTCGGTGAAATTTTTAAGGAACAATTGGTTTCACTAAGCAATAAAGAAAAGGAAGTTTTTATTTTAGGTGATTTAAACATAAATTTATTAAACTACAATACCGACAACCAAACATCACAGTATTCGATACTCTTCTGGAATTGGGTTTCATGCCACTGATTATTTAAACCCACTCGAGATACTGATCACACTTCCACACTAATCGACCTTGCATATCTATACTAATGTACCACAAAAAATCTGAAAATCTGAAAAATGTCACTTCCCTATTTTCTGCACAGTGTCAAATAAGCTTCCTACATCAAATTATTCAAAGTATTACCGTGACTTCTCTAAATATTAAATTTGATAATAATGCGTTTCAAAGAGACATACAGACTATTGATTTCAATAATCTAATTTCCTCTGACGTTAATGAAAGTATGAACGGAGTYATTAACGCAATTCAATCGATTTCTGATAAGCATGTGCCACTTCGTCAAATTTCAAATAAAAAGAAAAGACAAATTAAGAAACCTTGRATTTCTAATGCCATTCTCACATCCATAAAGAGAAAGCAAAAGTTATTTAAATCTCATTTTCYTAGTAAAGACCCTTTAAAAGTAAGACTGTACAAGACTTACAACAATAAGCTAAATACAATAAAAGAAGGTGTCAACAAAATGTATTTTCAAGATCAGTTTGACCTAAACAGCGACAATTTAAAAACTACTTGGAAGCTTATAGGAATGATTATCAATAGGAAAAAGAATTCTTCTCAGAAACAAATCTCAAAAATACTATATAAAAACAAGTGTTACACTGACAAAAAAAGTATCGTTCAGCAGCTTAACGCACATTTCATTAGTGTTGGTCGTGAACTTGCAGGAAAACTTCYTCAAACTGATACAAGCCCTCTAAACTATATTGAACGTTCTTTTGAAAGAAGCTTTATGTTTCACGGCATAACACCACATGAAGTATTATAGATGAAATAAGAGGTATTAAACTAAATAAGTCTACGATTGGAGTTCCTCGACTGTGTATTGAACTTGCAAGTGAATATATCAGTGGACCTCTGTCGTGTTTCGGGCTCGCTTTTAATTGTGTCTCGTCTCAGTACATATGAATATGCATGAACCTATTCCCCCTAATTAACATACATCACACTCCTCCCTTCTTAGCTTAAGGATCGTGGTCAAAAGATATCTAACTATTAACAACTCAAATACACTATAAGTCTTTCTTTTAACCTAATGTCTTCAACGCAATGTTCAGTCTCTTGTTTNGCGCATGCGCGAGTTGTATTCACCTGTAGGTGAATAAATAGCAGTATAAGACAAATTGCGACCAATGAGCGCGCCGGATTTATTATATTCACTTGGGTAAAAATACTAATATAATATATACGTGTTTAATATKCACCTGCAATAGCAGTTTTGATTGTTGTGACGTTACTCCATGCTCCATATCCTACTTGCGTGACGGCCTTTATTGAGACACTGTATTCAGTGTACGGCTTTAAGTTGGTCACAGCATATCTCCGATCATCGCCAATAACTCTAAAGTTTCTGTTTTCCACTTTCACTAGATATCCAGTGATGTGGTAAGTAGGGCTGCATTTTTCGTACGTCCATGTCAAATTGATTGAACGTTTGTAAGGAATAAAGTGCACAAGAGGTGGTTCTGGCGGGGGAAACATTAACAAGATAACTCAATCTTAAGGTTATTTTTTCATTATTTCTTTTGGAAAAAATTGAACTTCCAAATCTTTATTATCTGAAGAAATGGCTCTTTTTCAAAGCCTTTTTTTATGATGGTCATCGATTATCGTCCAGAGAATGTCGTAAAATGGCCAAAACATGCTGCCTAGAAACATCACCGTTATTATCGCTCTTCTCTCCAGGTTCACTGACGCATATAGTCACACACATAGGTCCATGTTAGTCTTATTGAACGTTTTTTAGGTAACAAATCGTGAATTGAATGAATAGAACTGTGGTGTAATAATGTTAGAATGTTGATTATCACAGTGAATAAGCGATGGAATCCTATACGAGGTGGTTCTGATGGGAAAACTAATGACAAGTTCGTAACTCTATATATCTTGATGAAATTGTAGCTTTTATCGTTGTTTCTTTCGAAGAAAAAAAAGAACTTCCAAATCTTCATTATCTGAAGAAATGGTTACTTTCAAAACCTTTTTCTATGATGGTCATCGATTGTCGTCCAGACATTGTCGTAAAATGGCCAAAACATGCTGCATAGAAACATCACCGTTAATTAGTAGTATCACTCTTCTCGCCGGAAGACGCCTGTAGGCTGTTATAGTTTGATTTATTTGACAATTAATGTACGTTCAGTTTGTTTGCTGAACCTCAAACATCGTCATTTGCAGTCCACAGAAGCCAACGAACACTAAGGAAAAAAGAGTACGGGTGGACAGGGCACATGTCTCTTTATGTGTGTTATTTTGAATTAGCTTGAAAGTGGCATAATGACATGCGCATAGACCGACATGACTAAGATCTCAAGGTTCACTCATACTGATGTGCATCTAATCCACTACTGCACGATTCTAGGTGCTCTACGAGAATAAGGACTGGGAAAAACCACGAAAAATAAAGGTAGCCGAGCAATGCTTAAAATACTAGAACGATGCAACATACTTACCCTGGTTAGTAACGTAAACATTGACCCTCATTGTTTTCCATCTATGATATTCCACTGGTACAAATCTAATGTACCTGGCCAGTTGAGGGTTTGTAAGATCATGACGTACTACACTGTTAGAGTCGGTGTTTCCTTTGAAGAGCTAAAAGGTAAAACCACCAATAAAAGACTAGAATGTGAAATTGGTATAAATAGACTACGACTTAGGAAACAGTTTTGCTTTGCTTTTGCTTTTTTTTTCATTTTTATGAATAAATATATAAATTGCCAGCAGCACCCAAAGAATCCCTTGTTAGCAATAACATATAAGCGTAGATCGAAAACAAGGAGTAGGTCAGCTCTAGCTCCTTTGGCTGTGGTATCCCCCTTTTTTCTATTGTCTTACCTGGATTTTCAAGGAAAGACAATAGGAAAAAGGGGATACATATATATGTATATATATCGCTAAATTGTCAAAGTTTTAGCGATCCGGTGTATATATATATATAAAATCGTAAAAATATTATTCAAGCTATATATATTCATGTAATTCTGTTATATAAAATTGAAAAAAAACAACATTGTAAATAAATTGAAATTGAATTGATTTGATGTCGAACATATCAAATATTTCTTTACTTTTCTTCATGATCTTTCAAATTACTTTAAAATGTTCAAATTCATCTTTATAAGTACACTGTTGTGTGCTTTGTTATTTGTTGCTAAATACACCTTGTATTACCCAGAGCTCCTCGTTTTTAGTCGTTCCTCTCCAAAGACAAGGCGGAGAAACGAAGCCAAAGAGCTCTGGTTGCGAGAAAAACTCTTTAGCCAATCAGTGCTGAGCATTATGATTAATTTATCCAAAGATAAAAGACTATTATTATAAGCATATATAGTGGCATATATTTTCTAACTTCAGCTTCTATTAGTTACTCTTTAAACTACCTTCTGTGTACCGCTTTCGTCTTTATATCTGATCCAGTTTGACGAGTCATCCGAGTAATTTATCTTGTATCTTATCACCCACTCATATTTTTCTTTGTGTTGCACGCTATCTGGATCACCACCATTTCCTTGTGTTGCTACAGCAGTAATAACACGTAGCGTACCGAGGTCAATCTGTAGGTAATTACCAGGATTACTACTATACCTTGGTGCCCATCCATTTTTACCATATAGCTTAGCGTTATGGGCTGCGTATCGATAGTCAAAATGCGATGAGGCATCATAACTGCTGTCAGGTATACTCAGATTGTTTCTCCCTACAAGAGATTGTTCTACACAACCTAAAAGGTATCACCATATGAAGCATTAAATTGTACATAATTGTATTTTACCTATGATATAACATTTTCTAACTTTGCTATATTACTTACTAATCTTAATAATAAATATAGAGTGATTTTACTTAACCCTGCTACCCAACAATTACTTTATTTTTATTTTTTCTTTTGTTTTCTGTTTCCCCCCCCGTAAAACAGTGAAATAGACACGGCTAAAGACTATGGAAACATGATCTACTTGCTTTGGTTAGTGTACCAGATATTTTACGGGAAACAAAACCCTCTAATATCTCACGTTAAACACTGAAGAATGACTGCCGACAATCTAATGTATTGTATTTTATTGATAATTAGTTTTAAATCGAATGAAAATTGGTGCATTTTAATAACTTTTAAGAACACAATTATTATTTAGAAATACAATCATTTTCCTTACCAGTGTTCTGTCCTCTTATACCAAGAATAAAACAACAAAAAGTTAAAGTACGAAAAATTGCCATGTTCATGGTCAATCTGATCTGTGCGTTAAAGACTGTCCAACTGTCACGAGTTATGCAGTATTTGAGCGCCAGAATCTAATCTATATCGAAACAGTTGCCCGTGCTACAAACTATATTATGAATTGTTTATTTTGATTCTGCAGGACAGCTAGTTTTTCCGGTATCTCTTTCCATCTGATGAATCGAAACAGCTAACACAACCATGCCAAAGTAGCAATTAATTAAAAAATATATTTTACGATTTTACGAAAAAAAAACCACAAAACTTGATGCATAAGAGCTGCACCACTCATTCGAGGCTTTGTTTACTTCGATTCTACTACTGACTAGATATAAACTTGAATATAGATGGTAGATCAACGATGAACTTTCGGTAGAAGGATTTCAAAGAATTCGACTGTCTGTTCTCTTCATAGAAGTATGCTTGCATATAAAAATAAAATAAACTGTTCCAAAAAAATTGCATGAGGTTATCGAACCTGAAACCTTATGGCTAAACTTACTACAGATAAATGGTTAAAATCTACCGAAAGAGAACTCGAAAATGAAACAAACTTAAGTGCGAAACTTATCTTTTTCCTAAATGACTCGCCCACGTGTTGGTAATTAGTGTACTACGCAGTCGCTATTAATTTCGTCACGCACCGCTTACTCCCCTAAGTAAGTGAGCGTTGCGTGACAACATTAATAGTGGCTGTGCAGCTGCGTTGCCCAAAGCATAATGTTAACCTAAAAGCCTTGGCTCTGACTGACAACTTTACCATCCTTAGGAAGTAGTGTCAAGGAAAACTCGACTGACTTATCTTCGATTAAAAAGAACAATCCTAAACTTCAAATCCAATCGGATTCCATCTGCGCACGAATGTTTACTTAAGTTACACCTTTCTCTATTTCTCTAATTGAACATTATTAACGTGCTAATTCACAACTTGTTTATTTTATTTGTATTCATGTTCACTCTTTTTACTTTACTTTGTAATGAT